TTTGCCGAATAGGGTAACAGTTCAATTCGGACGATGTGACCCGCCCCCCCCCCCCCCCCCCCCCTCCCCTTAGAGCTTTCCTCTCAGACACAAAACCAAACAAAATACTCACGCCGCTTTTGTAACCCCTCCTTAGCGAGCGTCTGCTTTCGTCACAATCCAACAGGACCAAAACGCTTTACGCCTTTTTTTTTTTTTTTATTATCTCTTTTCGTTTTACGTAAGAGGAACACAATACGAAGCAGGAGACAGACCCTGTCCTAGTTGCAAAACACAAAACCCCACTGTTTTGTTATGGAACGCCCCATTGTTGGCAACCCTGCGTCGATTACTTGCGTCCGAACCGCCTTTATTTTTTTACCTATTTATTTTACCGATATTTACCAAGTGTCGTATTTCCGTTGGTTCGACCCCATATAATACTCGTGTCGGTTTGTTATTTTTGCCCTTGATACGAACGAGACTTGGCCGAATATTTCACTGGTTGTCTCCTTTTAGAAGCCAGCTCCAGGCTAACTTAAACTCCAGATCTGGCGACTTCGTTTCTGCACAATGGCGGAGAGGGTACGAGCTCGTGAAAAGCGCCTTTTTGGGGAAGAAACCCCAACTAAACACACCTTCGGTATACCCAGGACTTACCCTTTCCTGCATGCTACTTATTTATTATCTTTACATTCAAAATATACATTGAGAAAACAGAAATAGAAGGTAATGCCTAAAACGAACATTAAGAATTGACCGCAATTTTTAGTGGGGTAACCTCATACGTCGAATAACTTGCAAAAAACAAACAAGAAAAAAACAAAAAAAAAAGAAAAGAAACACAGTATTTAGCACACATGTTTTTATCTCTGTGTTTGTGCTGGTGTGACCTTAACCAGCATTTATTTCACACTATCAAACTTCCTCTGATCAGCCGGGAAGAAGCTGTGATGTCCCCGTATTGTCCCACATTACAACATATGACGTCACGCTTTCAGTGTTGCCAGTAGAGGCTCTAAGCCTCTCAGACAAAATTTAAAGCTTTAATAACTTCGAATCAAATAAATATTATTATGACTTCTAATTTGGGTTACTAGTTCAGATCTGTTTAATATTATTGTGTTGAACCAATTTTGAGCAAATCAGTTACAATCAAAGTTTCGCCGGAGTTCTCCTTTGAAGCACCACGAATGCTCGCGCAGCCAAACGAACCAATGCAACCTATTTTGGGGAGTCAACTTTCTATGCGTCTGTGCGTTCGTGCAACTTGAACGACGACCCAAGCTGCGTACGCGCTCCTCGCTTCTCAAATTCCACAGAAAGTTGTACCCAAGAGTTCGTAAAGTAGCCGCAGTTCAATTGGCACGTTTTTATTTCATTTCATTTATATACCTTGAGGACCCGTGTCTGGGTATCACACAAGGAAGGGCGAGTAACAAGACACTTGTTTAAACACGAAAGTAAAAATAAAGAAAAAAAGAACACGGTGGAAATCTTAAATTCTTGTGGACGCCGCCATGTTGGTGCTTAGGGCAGTGAAGACGCAATTGGCAGTCGTTACACTTACAAAACAAGATTCAGACGTCCTGAACTTTTGAAACGGCGTCGGGAAGCTAAGGCGCAATTGCTTCTCTCTGTGGGGATTTTTTTAAAACGTTCGTGATAAATGGGCGGTATCAAACAAACACGTAAGGTGACTGGCAGCAATGATCTTAAGAAACAAGATGGTTGACGTGTTGTAACTCCGAAGCGCAGCTCATTTTAGCTTCTCTATACTCCGTTCCACCTTCTGTTGTACCCACCGTGGAAGAAACACATTTAGGTGATGACTCTGGCCGCTCTTCCCGCGGGAAGCGAGCGACGAGATCGTGTTCGGAGCTAGCCTAGAACCAGGAGTGGTTTGTTCCGCGCTGCCGTGGAGGAAGCTGAGTTCTGAGCACCGTGAATATGAGGTCCCTCCTCGACGGCCACAGTGTCGGCGGCGTAGCGGGCTCGCCTTTATCGCGGTGTGGTGGTGCTGTGCGACCGATGGCTAGTCTCGTATTTTGCTTTGGTGCTGCGTCGATCACAGGTGTCACCATCGTGCACGAAGGTGAGCCTTAACCCGAAGAAGAAGAAGAAGCAGATGGAAGAGAACAAAGATTTACGGACTCTGGCGACTTGGTGGTGGCGTGGCGGCGGTGAGGTAAAACAAGAAGTGGTGAGCGAGGGAATGGCGGGGCCACCACTGGGAGCAACAACGGGAGCGGTCGGTTTGGGAGGGATCCCATACTTGGGCGCCATCTATCCCCGTGCGAGTGAAGCGCTCGGTGCGCCGAACATATTGTGGCCGCCGCGACGGACAGAAAGTCATCCCCTGGATGTATTTCTTCCACTGTGGTCGTACCGCAGCGAAGGCTAGAAGCGCGAGCACGTAGCGTTGGCAGCTGCCCTTGGTGCACGAGGGCTTGCGCCACCGAGATGGGCCCTAGAGCAAGGAGCTCGCGCTTGTAGCCTTTCCTGCGGTACATCATAAGGTGAAATAGAGTAGAGTCGTACCATAGCGGCAAACGCCCACAGTTCACGCAGAAATAAATAAAAGCACTGAAAATATACGAGGGACAGACACTCACAGTTAATTCGACGAGCAATGATATTTATTTGATGCTCATCACACTGCGAAAAACAACTTTGATCACAAAAAAAATTGAGGGAATACGAAAATACTAGAAAAATATACTAGAAAAGAATAAAATAACAATAACTGAATTTAACTTCCCGAAAAGATAGAAGAAGAAGAAAAAATTGGAGGAGGGTTTTTCTTATGATAGCTCTGGCGCTAGGAATTTCAGCTGTGGAGTCGATAACGACGACAAGGGCTCTTAAACACTGTCTGTGACATTCTTGATTTTAAATGATTCCATTATCTCTCTCCCATACTTGTCCTTGTGTGAGCCAAGCTCTGTAGAGTTTTCATATCTAGGAGTGCAATCGTAGCAGGTGCGGGCGTGCACAACAGTTGGATGGTAAGAGCCGGATGACGCTTTGTTCGCTTGGAGAGAAAACGTTTTATTCTGTTCAGTTGTGGCAGCCAATACTACGCCCAGACGGGACGATGTCCGAAAATTCGTGTTAGGAAACACATTCTCGAAGTGAACAAGGCGTCATCCGGCTCTCACAATCCAACTGCTGTGCACGCCTGCACCTGCCATGATTGCACCCCTAAATATGAAAGCAATACAGTGCTTGGCTCACACGAGGACAACTATGGGAGAGAAATAATGGGAGCATTCAAGATAAAAAATGCCACAGACAATGTTTCAGAGCCCTTGTTGTCGTTATCGAGACCAGAGCTGGAATTCCTAGCGCCAGAATTATCATAAAAAAGTCTCCGCCAATTTTCTTCTTGTTATTCCTTTTTAGGGAGATAACTTCAGTTATATTCCTTTTCATATTTTTCTAGTATTTTTTTCTAGTAATTTTGTCTTCCCTCACTTTCCCTGTGATCAAAAGCGGTTTCGCGCAGTGTGATGGGCATCACATAAATGTCGTTGCTTGTTGAAGGAACTGTGAGTGTCTGTCCCCTGTCTATTTTTAGTGTTTTTACTCTCTCTGTGTGAACTGTAGTGTATTGAACGCACACTGGTACGCGGCAAACGCCCGGTTTTTTCCCGCCAACAAAACAAACTCAGTTCGTTTTCTTTTTCGACTCCGAGTAAGTTTTCTGCAGTATCAGAATCCTTTCAAATCATATCGCTTTGTGGCTAGTTGGTGGCGTCCATAGGCGATCAAAGAGTTTCTTAATACCGGAGTCCTACTAGGGCGACGAACGGACCGACCGACCTCGGGCAGGTGCACGCAGCACGCGCAACAAAGTTTCCTTTGGTAGGCTTGCAGTCTTTGGGTGCTCGTAAAACAAGCACGATTGGGTCGAAGGTCTGTTAAGAATACCCTTCGCGTCCATGTGCACGCGCTTGGGGCTTATCGGTGCCCGACATTTCTGTTTGTCGCTCTGGTGCTGGCGGTTCTCCGGACGTCGGCCCGCGGGCCGAATCCGGCCCTCGCTGAACTTCCTACCGGCCCGTGACTGGCTACTGTATATCCACTAAACCCGCCCCGGGGGTCGCTTTCAGAACACCCGATGACACCGGCACAAAAATAATCGCGCGTTAAGGAATTGTATCGAAACGCACACTAAACATGTAAACAAAACAAAAACAAAAAAAAAACTAGGAAAATTTTGTTTTTGGGTAAGGCGTGCCCTCTCGTCATATGTTTCATTGGAAATTGTCGTCACAAGCATCACCATTCTTAGTTCCCTGTTTTTATATCTGTGTAGCTATGTATGTTAGTATTCCTTTTGCGTTCTCATGTACTTAGATCGCCCTTAGTGTCCTGTGCCCTCCATATTGTCAGCGTCAGTTCTATAATATTGAATTTCAAAATAAAGGATGTCTTTTCATGCACCTTCGGTACTTCCTTTTTCTTATTTTTTTTTACTCTAACCTTTAAAATTGTACTTGGACGCTGATATAAAATTATTTATTTGGTTTATTTCGCATTTATGTTTCTTATTTATTTTCCGGCCGTCGTGCGAACTACAGTTGAGCACGAATGAGTTAGAAACTTAAAAATAACACACACACACACACAGACACGCATATAAATATATATATATATACACACACACAACGGGCATTGTGGCGGGGGGCCGAAGGCGTGGGTATAACTGAAAAGAAAAGAAAACCCTCGGTGAAAACAGCAACAACGGACGGTTTATTCTTCGACGTTTCGGCCGGAGTCCGGCTTTCGCCAGGAAGAACTTTTACAGATGGACGCGGGTGGTATTTATACAATGCTATAGTCGACTCCAAGTTTTGAAACTTGGACTAGACCGTAGATAGTAATAATGATGATAATATCCCACATGAGCAATGACACGATTACGCTAGATAACACGGACTAAAGAGTTATTTAAAGCTTAACCCCTTCGCTTCCGCCATGATGCGGCCCCTTCCCGCGTGGTATTCCGCGCCCCGTTTTCACTGTACCCGTGCTTTCTGCGGCGCCGAGGAAAAAGTTTAATAACTTACGCACAAAACGTCACAGGAGGATAACTTTTGTTTTATTTCAATCCTGCATCACAGGCAAACGGAATGCACTTAAAAAGACTTTCGAGTGTGAAATAGCTTAAAGCACACGGGCATGTGAAGTGCGACTTCACATTTTTCGCACTCCCAGCGGCTCTCACTTCTTTTGCCCTGGACCTTGCAGACGTGGCACCGCCTAGATGGGTTTGGTTTCGTAGCGTTGGCTGGGATCTGGCGAGGGAAATGCGCCCATTCGCATCCCTCTAGGCTCATCGGCGAGGCACTTACGGATGGCTTTCCCCGTCGCTTGTACCCGGGCAACACCGTCTCCTCCACGATCTGCTCGGCGAGGTCGACTTTCCAGTCCGTGTAGCTAGACCTCTTGCCTGTGGTCTTTCCACAAAGTATATAGCTGTTGTAGACAGCTATATCCATGACGTAGAAGAAGATCTTCTTGTACCCCTTGGCATATCTCCGCATAATGGGAAACGAAGCCAGCTGCTGATCCTCACGGTCGACGCCTCCCATACCTCTGTTGTAATCAAGCACAACCTGGGGTTTGAGGATTGGCTGGTTGTCTTTTCTCTGTTTTCCTGTGTCTGTCAGGTTTGTTGCGTCATGGGAGGTTGAAAGCAAGGTTACGGGCTTCTTGTCCTGCCATGTTACAGCCATCAGTCCACGGGAAAAGAGGCTGCGACAGTCACCCTTTTGAAGCTTGATTTTTTTCAGCTCTTGCGGCATGTTCTTTCGATGCACGCGAACTGTCCCGACAGCGTTAGACCCCGCTTCCTTGATGTGGAGAAAGAGTAGCGGGGACGAGTACCAGTTGTCTGTATAGATGGTGTGACCATTCCCAAGACGGTCTCCCACAAGGTCGATTACAACAGCCTCACTGCATAGCATTCCAGCTGTTGCTGGGGTCCTCTCACTTTTGCCGGTGTAAATAGAAAAGTTCAGGCAGTATCCGCTTGACGACTCGCACAGCTTGTAAAATTTGATTCCAAAGCGCGCGCGCTTTGACGGATTGAACTGAATGTAGGATAGACGACCACGAAACTTCATGAGGCTCTCGTCTACCGCCAGTCCCTCTCCTGGCGAATACGACTCGCCAAACACCTTCAAAACATAGTCCAGGACTGGACGCAGCTTTCGAAGTTTGTCTTCATCAACTGGCAGGCTGTTGTCGCACAGGTGAAGGTATCGTGAGAGCGCCCAAAACCGCTGCCTGGGCATCACGGACGCGAAGAAGGGCGTGCTAATCACGCTTCTCTGAGACCAGTAGGCTTGAATGCTGCTTTTTTTCACTTGGCTCATGAGAATACAAAGGGCAAAGTACGCCTTCATCTCACCTGGAGTTGTGGGAAACCATGAAGGGTCCGGAGAGGAGGCCTGCTTCTCAAGTGCGTAGGCATTCGTGTAACGTGCAAGCATCTGCCAAAAGTCTTCGCCTATCAAAGCATTGAACATTGAGAGGGCTGTAGGACTGTCGCCTACGGCTATCTGAACAGTTCTCTTTACACCTGGTGTTCCGGCGAAAGGGATCTTTGCGACTTTGTCGGCACTGTCGTCGTCCTCCCATTGCCAGGCGTCGAGCCTTGGAGCTTTGGATGGTGGTGGCGCGACGGGCACCGAAGAATCAAGTGGTTCTTCTGAGTCCGAAGCCTCAGCATCGTTGTCACTGTCCGAATCACTGCTTTGGATGTCCATGGTGAATTCCGGGTCGTCGCAGTCGTCATCCTCATCACTTTCAAACACCAGCTCAAGAATTTCCTCGCTGGTGAGACACCTCCTCTTCCGCGACGCCATGTTTTCATACAAAGAAAAAGAACCGCGAACTTCTTCCTTTGCACTTCTAAATATTCATAAAATAATCACGTACGTGGTACCATCTGGTGTCAAAAGTACTAATCAAAACACCTACAGCCTGTAAAGTGTCGCCATCTATCAATATATTTTGGAAACAAACTGTTTTGCGGAGGACGGCGATTCGCCGTCTTATTTCACTTTGGACCTTTCTCCCGCGGACGGCGGATCGCCGTCTTCGGAAGCGAATGGGTTAAAAAGAAGGAAACAGAAGATAGTCCAAAGCTGGAAGGAAAAACAACAAAAACTCGAGTCCAGTCAACCTCTGAGTGACAGCTAACGTTTCGGTCATACAAGTCGTTTGTGGAGTGCCATCACGAAGTTCTCTTCTAGTAAACTATCGACGAAACTTTTAAGTTGTTCCTTTTCATACCCTTTGAGTTAACAGAGAATACGCTTTTTATCTCTGTTTACTACGCGTTTTTAAACAGTCTTTTAGGTTACGCAAAAAAAGAAAAAAAGGCTGGCTACTTTCGCAATCTCTACTAATCTTAACCAAAACAAACTGCATCGGTACTGCACGCCGCGACATCATCTAGCTACACCCCAACGCGGGGAGAGGACAGGCCCGAACGTCGCAGCGTCTACCAATGGTACCCAGCGTTCTCGGTGGTGTTGAATATATCCATCCTCTGCCCTCCCGCCTCCTGCCAGCAAGACGACATAAATCAACCCCCAGAACCGTCTACACACCACATGCCATCAAAAGAAGAACGAAAATTTGGGAGGGTGTTCCTTTAACCGGATTCAATGTTACACAAAGCGAACCGACGTGTTACGCAATACGACCTGCCCTTCATACGAGTGACCGGAAGGAGAAAGAAAGAAATAAAAAATAAAATGGAGGCCGGATAGTGTAGACGTAAGAGCCGACGGCGTCGCTTCGTCGGCTGAGGTTCGCGCAACAGATGCCTACGAGACCGCCTGTTGATCCCGAATGGCCATCGATCTTCTCTCGGCACCTCCTCTCCCTTTGCTTCCTCCTTTCGCCTCCTCCTCTCCTTCCTCGGGGATCGTGTTCTCTTTCCATCGGCGGCGCCTCCTTTCCACCGCGTGTTACCCTCCCCCCATTCATCCCTCCACTCTTTTTTTTTTTGTTCTCTTCCTCTCACAGGCATCGCTCACTCTCTCACTCTCTCTATAAAAAAAAAAAAAGCATGCGGCAAAGTAGAATCTTTTTGCCTTGGGCGGCCGAACCGTCTCGGTTTCGGGGGTTTTGGCCCACCCCTTTCTCATTCGTTTGACGACTCGCCCCGCCCATTCTTTATTATTATGAAGAGCAGAGAGGGTGGTGTTTGGGAGAAGGCTACGAGAAAAAACAATTAATTCGACGGAAGAAACAGAAGCCGCAACTCGGACTGCATTAGAGTCATAAACGAAAGAAACTAAGGTAAAAATGAGTGAACAAACTGATTGGCAGGAGAGTCATCGAAACGGCGACGGATTCGCCTAGATTCAAAACAGATTAGTGAATCTAATCGTAAACTATATGGATAATAAGGGCGACAATAATTTGGAGGAAACGTGCAAAATCTGCGAACGGAAGTAATCGGGAGACGCTAAAAATGATCGTGCATCGAAACCAAAAAAAAAAAAACTGAGTTGCGTAAACTTCTTGTCGTTGATGAAGAAATGACCTAGGAGTGGCCCAATTATGAATATATATATATGTACTACCTACCTAACCTTAGTTGGAAAATAAGGGACTGCAGAAAGAGGCGGACACACAGAAAACACGTCTGGCTGTAATTAAACAAATTGTAAGGACAACAATTAGACTTTAAAGTAAGTTAAAAATGATAAAAAACAAAACAACAACTAATGAACGAGTTCTAAAAATAAATTATATTAATTTGAGTAATAAACGATGATTGAAGTGAAGTAAAGCTATCCCTGTGTAGGTGGGTGCGCCCCCTCTTCCAGTAAACCCATTTTGAATTCTATTCTCGCAACCGCGCAATCCAACGTACACCTCAACGATAGTTCTAAAGGGGGCTTCCCCTCATTACGGGTCAAGTTGGGGCAGAAGACCCTTTACAGGCGCCGGTTTTCAAATTAAAGGGAAGCTACGGAGCTTCTTGAAAAATATGAGTTAGAAGTGAATTCTAGTGTATTTTTACCTCGTGAACCCGAATACCCAAGCCATTGGCTGCGCAAGTATTGTTAAACACGAAAAAACGCGAAAGACAATCGCAGTGTGTGACCTCACCGACGAATCTTTTGGCTGCCCAAGGCTAGGGAGGCGGGGCTTCAGCCCTATTTTCAAATTGCTCTTATGGATCTCCGGCGTGCCGCATTAAAATATAATTGTGATATCTGTTATTCTAACGGCCAAATGAACACAATTTATGTTTTTCTCTCAAATTCAGGACCGCCCTATCTTCCCTTTAAAGCAACTCCTTTTGCAGAAATCGGAGATCAAGTTGGGCACGGTACTCTTTTGTAAGGGCAAAGATGCGCTTCTTTTCTACAATTAAAACGTGGAGCAGAGAGCCGTTTACAAAGATATTTTTAAGGGTTTTCAAGTAAAGTAAACGTTCACTACTAAGATGTAAAGTGTTTGCGGAGCAAGCAATTGAAGTTCCGAAATGCTGTATGTTGCCGAACGTTTTCAGAAGTTCTTAGTGAAATCGATAATCGTTTTATCGCATTAGTTCCTACATGCAGTTAGTATTAATTTTAAACTATTAACTCATTTCTTTCTGTTGTTTTAAAGGTAACCAATACCAGGAGCGAAATTTGGACGTCAAGATTTCGCTCTACGTGTTGGCGAAATTTATTTATTTATAACTGAATGCTGTGTGTAATTAGTCTCGGTCTGCCAACCCCTAAAACAAAAAGATCATTTTCATTGAAAAGCGAGTAAACAAGAAGTAGGCTCGACTAGACGTGTACGCGACTTACATTAATTATTGGTAGTTTGGTGCCTATATCTTTTTAGAGGGGTCATGAAACGATATTGTGTGTGAATGTCCTTGACTTTGCTGAGGCGTACTGGTCCTACTCTGGCCCAAGTGTATTCGCACAGACCGCCAACAATTCAGAAGCTTCTTTTTCGCGGAGAAATTAAGAGGGTAAAAGCAGACTATTTCTTTTAGTCCTGCCTTCGCAAAGTCTGATGACGTAATTGTGGGATAAAAACCACCGACCGACGGCAGTCGAGCACGACTCATGGATTGGATATAAAAACTGCGTGATCACTCGACTTCGGCTCGTAACAATCAATCCCTCAGCGGACACTCGGGTAGTGTCTTCTGTCCTCCCACTGCGGAGATGAGAACATCCGAACTCGAACAATGTCTGGAGCTCAACACGCCCAGCACGGCTATGATTAACGTTGGTGACATAGGACAGGTGTCACACCACGTGGCCTCTTGTTCTTGCTCCAAGTAGTGGGGGTGAACGATGCTCATATTTCCCCAACTTATTTGCCGACTTCCATTACGTACTAAGAAAACTAGGGCAAGTTTATTTGGTTACTAATGATAGAGAGTGATTCTAAGTATTATTTAGCGAAAGTAAAAAAAAATAATAAAAAAGTGTTCTGCAGTCATTGAGACGCGCAACTCGCACGAGGTTGCCAGGAACCTTTTTCTTAGGTTCTAGAATAAAGCATTGGCTTTGCTGAGGCCCTTCGGTCAAGTTGATGAAAGACTGACATTAACAAAACAAGCATCGAAACCATCAGTTGCATCACATCATGATCGCCATCAACATAATAATCGGGATTTTTATGGATGCTCCCACAAAATGAGCACGGGTTTGAATGAAGCAGTTCAGAGAGCAATTCCTGAATTTAGTTCGCGTTGGCACGAAGAAGCAGTACACATAATCCAATAACACTAACATAAAAGAAAATAATGCACAGTTTAGGTGCCACGCTAGTATTCGACATCGCTACGCAATTACGAAGCCGGTCTTAAAAACTATGTTGTTGTTGTGGTTGCTTTTAGAGCGAAGCTCCTAGGCGCCCGTTTGCGGTTTGAGTGGCGTCTCCGTCAGCGTAACCGCGCGTTGCATTATAGGACGTTTCACCGCTAAGTTTAGTGGTAACGTTTCCCGCTAAATTTAAAGGAAAAATTATCCGCTAAATTTAGTGGGGAAAATTTTCGATAACTTTGTTGGAAAACCTTCCTCGCTTAATTAAGTGAAAAATTTCCCCGCAAAATTTAGCGGAAGAAATTCCCCGATAATTTTAGCGAAACATTTTCCCCTATAAACTTAGCGGAAAAAAATCCCTCCTAAATTTTGCAGAAAAGTTTCCCCGCTAAATTAAATAAAAAAATTCCCCACTAAATTTAGCGGAAACAATTCCCCGCTAAAGTTAGCGAAAAAACATCCCCACTAACTATAGCGGAAAACTTCCTGGCTAAATTTAGTGGAAAATTTCCCGCTAAATTTAGCGGAAGATTTTCCACTTCGAAATTATGCGCAAATATTTCCCCGTCAAAATTAGCGAGCAATTTTCGCTAAATGGAAGGGGAGAAGGAGGGGAGGGCACGAAGAAGGCACACCTTCCCCTCAGTACCCTTCTCCTCCTCCTCCTCAAGAGCTGCGCTCTAATTCGGCGTTACGAAGAATTGTAAACGTCTTTCTTTTTCTTTTTTTCACGAAAACTTATTCAACGATGTTGAGAAGAATCCTATCAACCGATGGGCATCTAAAGTAAAAAAATGAAATACTCGTATCGACTAATGCTATGTTTACAAATCCACAATTCGGCGTGCAATCGCCACAACTTTAAAACGCGCGCGTTCGTCGCCTAAAAAAAAGAGAGAAAAAAAAAAGCGAAAAGCGCGCACAAAAATGGCTCCGGCCCAAAGCCCGTTACAGGCACGATCTATAGAAAGAAATTGGTTCGTCAAAGGCTTTGAACCGTTTCCGCAGAATTCTTCTTCCCCGCGTAGCACACTTGAACTCGACGGGCCACTTAAAAAAAAAAAAAAAGACACAGTTATATAACCACGCGCGTCATGCACTCGACAGCCATTCAACCAACGCTTTTGGAGTGAAGCGTCATTAACAGAAACCCGACCGAAGATCCTCCTCTTTCTGGTTACCCTTCTTTCATTTCATCTTACCCCGCTCCAATAACTATAAATACGCCACTTCCGCTCGAGGCTTTCACCTTTCTCGTCGCCAGAACTTCTCGGCATTTTTTTTTTCTCATAAATTCGCGGTAGCGTTGCAT